CAGGCGTGGACTGGGACGTGGTCCCTGGGCTGGCGAGTGGCGATAACCTGCAACTCGCGGCCCAGGCGACGGAGCGGCCCAGCCGAGGTGATGTCGCCCAGGCAGGCCTTGGGCACGAAGATGAAGTCGATCTGCGAGGCCGTGGTCGAGCCGAAGAACGTCGGGCCCAGACCTATGTAGCTGTTGACCGCCACCATGCCGAGCTCCTCCATGAGGGGCAGGATGCTGGTCGCGGCGTAGCGCTGCTTGTCCTGCGCCAAGGGGCCGCTGACGTCGGATGTAGTGGGTCGCCACTGAGGGTCGCCGTCAAGCTGGCAAAGTCCGAGCCCCGAGTTCAGGTCGATACAGAAGATGGGGAGGACCCGCTTGGAACTGAGGTAGGGCAGCGAGCGGAGCCAGTCCGTGAGCGCGTCGCAGGTGCGGCGGTAGACCTCCAAGCCGCCCTTGACAGGCGGCGGTGGGTAGTAGGCAGAGCAGACGCCAAGATCGTACGTGGAGCACCTTGCACGAAGCGCTAGCCCACGTCCCGCCAGAGAAGCTGCGGGCGTCCAGGTGTGCGTCACGGAGGACTTCTTCACTTTGGCCCCGAGGAGAATGCTGCAGCCAGCGCTTTTGTTGGTATACGGCCCTCGGGCCCACCCACTTTCAAGACACCAGTTGTGATCTCCTGCCTTCCGCCAGCGTGCCTCCCAGGGCCTCTCTCGACCGTGGCCCTTGGCCGTCGTGCCGTTCAGACACACGAAGTCGTACGCTCGGCAGGCCTGCGCGATCGCGGTGAGCCTCTCACCGCTGGACGCGTGCAAGGGGTTATACTGGAGTACGCGAAGGCGGCTGCCGACCATCGCGCGAACGAGCAGGAGCCAGCAACCCACACTGAGACATCTAGAAGCCATCAGCAACGAGGTAAGATGTGAGAGGGATGTCTCGGAAAAGAGGCATGTGGGTGGTGTGGGAGCTGGGCGCCTGTCGCCCTGGGCATCTGTGTGGGCACTCCTGACCCAGATGCCTTGGAGGCGGGAAGAAGTGGAGGAGGAGGAGGAGATGGAGCAGAGCGTCGGAAAAGCCGGCCATACGACCCCATCAGCGAGTCACTCTTGGAGGTTGTGTGGCAAGCAGCAACGTTTGAAAGACGACGACACTTAGGGAATATGACTTGTTCTCTGAGGAACTGGGCCTGCGTGCAGGCCTGGTGACTATGTAGCCGACGTCCACCGTCGCCGCTCCGTCGCCGCCTCGTCGCCTCCGTCGTCTGGACCTGCGTGCCCGTCTGGCGGCTATGTAGCCGCCGTCGCCAACCCGTCGCCGCCTCGTCGCCGCCCGTCGTCTGGGCCTACGTTGTCGCCCTCGCCTCCACGGCGCCGCCATCGCCGCTCGTCGCCGTTGTTGGGTTGCACCACGTAAATTGCTTTACGTTGCGTAGCATTGTATTGATTTGCGTTCTTTTGCGTTGCTTTGCACTGCTTGGCACTGCTGTGCATTACTCTGGGTTGCTTTGCATTGCTTTGTATTGATTTGCAGTGCTTTACGTTGATTCGCATTGCGTTGCTGCGCGTTGCATTGCTTTGCTCTGCGTTTCTTCGCTTTGCATCGCTTTGCATTATATTGCGTTGCAGTTGATTGCCTTGCTGTGCGTTGCATTTGTTTGTCCTGCGTTGCGTTGCATTGCTTTGCATTGACTTGATTTGCATTGTCTTGTCTTGCTTCCCTTTGCATTGCATTGCTTTGCACGGTCCACAACATATTTTGCAGAATAGGAATTGCACCACGCAGGTTACATCACATATATTTTCCAGGCTGTGCTTGCACTTCGGGGTTCGCACTTCGGGTCTACGGAATTGGGCTGGTGTGCCGCGCTGGCGGATATGTTGTCGCCGTCGCCGCCTCGTCGCCGCCTCGTCGCAGCCCGTCGCTTGGGCCAGTGTGCCGCTCTGGCAGCTGTGTGGTCGCGGCCGCTTCCCCGTCGCCGCCTCGTCGCCGCCCGCATAGATTGCACACCACAGAGATTGCACACCAAATGTTGCGCACCACGTAGGTTGCACCACAAATATCTCGTCTCTTCCAGAAAAAAATTAGGATCTACACCCCCATTTTCGTATGGCAATTTAGATATGACTCGTCTGCCCCATCCTCCATCCTAAATTTGAATTCGCCCGGGCTCAGATGCACTCCCCCCCCCCCGCCAGCCAAGGCAAGTCCTGGATGGGGCCCACAAAAAAAAAACACCCAAAGCCAACCGAAATGGCCAGCGAGGAGCATACGGCTCCAAAACACACCTCCACCCCGTAAAACAAACGGGCCGTTCGAGACATCCCCACAATCTGGGCGCTCACGGGCCTGTGACACACCCTTCGTCGGTAGAGCACCAGCCTTCATCACCAGGCCGGATCGAGCCGCGTCCAGTCCTGGCGACGAGAAGTGTCCCGAGAGCATTGAAAACAATAGTACTTGTCTGACAACAATACGAACGTTATCCTTCCTCCCCCTCGTCCTCAGTAATCGTACTATTCCCTCCCCTCCCACTCCTCATTCGCTTCGCACTCCTCAACGGTTCCTCGGAATTGCGGGGACGTCTCATGCGACACGCGGCATCTCTTTGCCAAGAATTGCGGGGACGTCTCATGCGAAACTGGCGGACCCCCCTCGCACGCAACATCTCTTTGCCAAGAATTGCGGGGACGTCTCAGGCCAAACTGACCGGACAACCTCGCGGGCGGCATCTTCAAGCCTAGCGTAGCGACGATTTCACAAGCAAAACGGACGAGGCAAGGGTCGGACCACCTCTCGCGTAGCATCTGGGAGTCCAGAGTTGCGAGGACGTTTCAAGCGTAGCGGGCCATACCATGTAAAATCTGGTGCGTCGGAAAGCAAGCTTGCGACGAGGTCTCATGCGAACCGGGTCCAACCGTGCGAGCATGTTGCCATTGTCTCGATAGCAATTTTCCCCCAGCACTGGCCAGGCGACCCGGGAACACTCCAAGACAAAACTTCTTGAACGGAAACTAAAAGGAAACTCCCCCCTTATATATATACATATATATATATATATATATATATATATTAACAAATAGATTGCACTGCGTGGGTTGCGCCATGTATAAAAAGAAATGTTGCACCACATATACTGCACATCATGATTGCACAGCGCTGGTTGCACACGGCAGATTGCACAACATAGATTGCAAAACATATATCGCACACAACGTAGTGTACACCGAAGATTGAACACTACATGTTGCACAACATCAATTGCAACATATAGCTAACACCACAGACGTTCCACATCATATATGGCACCGCGAAAATCATGTTACCGTCATTCGCCTGTCAAAACCACCACACCTCGGCACTACACCGACTCCAGCTGCGATTCCGACCGACGTGTGGCTGCAAGCACCCCGTACCTGACACGTTCTTGCGGGGTTCTGGCGCATGCGGGGGGACCCAGAATCCATTGAGTGTCGAGCGCGACTGCAACCCTCGGGTCGGGCAAAAGGGGGGGTAGCAAAAGGGGGGTTTGAAAATCAGCTCACGTAGCTGATGTTCCCGGCGCCTCCCGGCGCCGGAGGCGGCTATGTATCGAGGAATGGGCCCCTCGGTGAGGCCGAAACCAGCTGCATGCAGCAAATTTCGTAACCCCCCCTTTCCCAATCCCCCCCTTTCGCCCGGCCCGAAACCCTCGACCTCGGAACCCGCCGCCCGCAAGAACTTCTACTCGGCAGCGCCGGAGGACGCAAGGCGCGCTGGGCCGGTACCTGGTCGGGCGCGCCGGGCGCGGGGCGCAGGAACGGGTGGAAAATCGCGGGGCGGCCGCGAGGGAGGAGGAACGTGAGGAGGAGGAGGAGGAGGAGGAGGAGGAGGAGGAGGAGGAGGGGGAGGAGGAGGGAGGCCCGGCCGTCGAGGCACCACCATCGCACGAACACCCGTCGTCTACATCGCGCCGCCTCCCTCCTGCCTCCTGCCTCCCCCCTCCCCTTCGCTCCCCAACGAGCCCCCCCACCTCGCTGCGAAGGGAGCGGGACAGAGGGCTGTCGCCCATGCTCGAACCCTGGAGGGGGCACCTTACCGGGCCCCTGGGGAGCCGTCCAAAAACGGATCGGGGTGAACAGCAAGTCGCGCGGAGAAGCGGTCCAGACTCCGCAGGGCCACGTGGCGACACATACGGCGCCGGATGCCTGGGCATCACCGCCGCCCATCCCCGGAAGCCGCCGTCCGGGCCACCGCCGGAGGCCCCCGCGGGGCCTCCGGAGGCCCCGGCCAGCGCAGACGAGGCCAGCCTCGAGCCTCCCTCGGGTGGTACAGCGGCTGATCTGGACCAAGGCGTCCCCCGCCTCTCGCGCTGGAGCCCCTGCAGACCCTCTGGGCTGGAGCCCCCGCGGCTTCTCGCGCTGGAGCCCCTCGTGACGGGCGCTCTGGAGACCACGAGGGCCTCCCTGGAAAGCCCGGCCCGCTCCCGAAGTCCTGGCTTTCATCCCGAGCCGTTGTTGTTCACAGGCCCAGGTCCAGCGAGGATCCCGGATGCAGGAAACGGCAACAAAACGTCCGCCTTGATGTTTGCCAACCCTCCTGTGTTGGGTTCTCGTTTTGGAACAGAGCACTGTGGTCTACGTCCTCCCCCTCCTCTTCCCCCTCCATCTGCCTCCTGCCTGCTATCGCACTATACGCCGTCGGGTGCTCCCTGAGTGGCTGCGGACTGCGCAACTGATGCCCTTTTTCGTGGGCTCCTGGGAGGTGCAGCGGAGTGGTGATGCACGCGGACCGAGCCGAGACCTCGAGGCTCCGTGGGTGGCTGCATATTCGCCACTGTCGCCACCTTCGTGGGCGTCATACACAGACCCCCCTCGCGTTCATACAAATCGCCTGGGTACGTCTCGGGTGATTTCCAAATGTTGGAAACCCTGAGCCTGAGGCAACCGCTGGCAACGCCGGCTCTCAGCCCTCCTCTGGGGAGGCAGCGGCAGCGCCAGCGGCGGCGGCGTCCCTCTGCCCCCCCCCCCTCGAGCCTGGGCAGCGCCGTCCTGAGCGCGGCCTGCCGCAGGGGGAGGAAGAAGGGAGGCAGGGAGGAATGAGGGAGGGAAAAACCGTGACGGCATGAGGGAGGAGGCGTGGGAGTCGGCTGGGGGCCTGAGGTGGACCAGCACTTGTTTCGACGAGCAGGGGGGGGGGGCAGGCTCGAGGTTCTGGGGTCGAGAAATATGTTGTTTGTTGAGCCCCCGTGGCCCGTTTTGAGGCAACAGGACCTTCAGAAACGGATCCAGAGCGAGACGCTGCACCGGATGACCCCTGGAGGGGGAGTCCGGGGACGGAGTTGAACGGATTTGGCTTCCTCCCCCCTCCTGGCAGATTTTGTGGGGTCCTTGCCAGTTCAAACCGCCCAGCCGCCTCCAAAGGAGGAAAACGCGGTCGGCAGGAACCGTTTCCATGTTGCTGTGGCCTGTACTTTCATGCAGGACCCCATCTCGTCATTCGAAGCCGAGGCCATTGCTCTCGACGAAGCCATCGGGAACTGGACACGCTTGATTGCTTATGGCATGCGGCTGTAAGCTTGCTGACCTAAGCGCCGGCGAAAGGAGGGAACACGAAAGGACCAAATCCGCCGATCCAGCGTGTGAACTACAAGGAGCCTCAGGACGAGCTTCAGTTCTGAACCTAAGCAAGAATTTCAGCTCTGCTTGGGGGGGGGGCGCCGGGGTGGCTCTGCCGGGGAAGGCGAGGACAGAGAGGAGAACGAGCACGCGACGCGAAGGGGTCAGCAGGAGGCAGAGAATAACGAGAACTAGGGAGAAGAAAGAGGACCGGAAGAATCGAGGAGGGAGGAGGCCACAGAGCCGCCAAGATCACCGAATCTGGAGCCCCCCGGATCGGCGGCACTGGCCGGAGGCCATTACAATACAGAAAAGGGAGGGAAGAGCGAGGCTAGAGGGAGGGAGAGATGACGAGCGAGGGGGAGAGGGGGCCAGAACGCATCGCGGCATGCCAGTGACAAGCCGAAGACGCTTGATGAAACGAGAGCGACGCTAGCCGAGGACTTCCGAAACGACCCAAGCGCGGTCGAGAAAAAGGCCAACATGGCTGGCCCGAACCGGCTGCCTGCGGGCCGCTACATTGCGCGGGACGCAAGGTTTTCTGCTCGCCGCGGTCTAGCCTGCGCCGGGGACTCACACTGCAACCTCCGCGTCGGAGGCGGGACGAGGAAGAGGGGTGAAGAGGAACGAGCAGAGAGCCACCCGTCTTGTGGTGCAGCGCAGTCTGTGCTTTGCATGGACGACTTCGGCATAGAGTGATTTTCCACTCGCATAGTCATCGGCCGTTCGTCGTTCTCTCCCCTGATTCTGTCCAGTGCAGGGGCCACCTCTCACGCGGGTGCAGCTCCACCGTGCGGGAGCTCGGGAGCCCACCCAATGACACCCAACTGCTGAGGGGGACCAGCGAGAACGCCCCAGGGCAAGCACGAATTGGGAAACCTGAGGAGGAAGAGGAGGATAAGCGCGGCCTTCTCTTTGCAGGAACAAAGGAGCGCGGGACAAGGAGGAGGAACAGAAGGGCAGATTCAAAATCCAACAGTGTGCAGGAGCTTCGATGCGAGGTGTTCGTGGGAAAACACACACAAAAAAACAAACAAAAAACATAACACACATCTGTGGGAACAAAAACACACACTGTGGGAACAAACACACAAAACACACACACACACAAAGCGCACACAGAGTGTGTTTTAAAACACACACAGAGTGTGTGTGTTTTTCCCACAATGTGTGTTTTGTGCGTGTGTGTGTGTTTTGTTGTTTTGTGTCCCACAGTGTGTTTTTTCCCGGAGGCTGCTGCTGCCCTCAAACATTATCCTCCCACATCGGGGACCTTCTGACCCGGGTCAATCCAGACCCGGGTCAGCAGGAAACCAACAACTGCAATGCAGGAAGAAAAAAAACAAACTGCAACGCAGGTCTTCGCAAACCCGGGTCAGCCAATATGCGCGGCCGCCTCGCGGTCACGAGCGGCTCGCTAACCCGGGTCAGCCAGAGGGGGCCTTCGCAGGACCCTGCAGGATCTGGCGCTCTGGTGGACCCCCGTTTGCCCTGACCCCCCGTCTCTCAGGCCCCGGCCACATCCGCTCCGTCTGCCCCGCGCCCTGCCCCCGCCCTGCAGGAGCGGGGGGCGAGGCCCGAGGTCCTGGGGACGACGCTCTTCGCCCGCGGGCCAGGGTGGAAGTGCGAGGGAGGAGGATGTTTCCTGGATTTTTTTGCCTTCCCCCCCACTTCCCATATTTGCCCATATTTTCCAAGGGATCGACGATGAATTGTGTCTTTGTGTTTTTTTCCTCCTGATTCTCACAAGGCGGCGGGACTTCTCAGAAGCCCTCCGGCCTTCTGAAAAGTCTTCTGTGTCTTCGGGCGCCGATGCTCCATGCCTTCGGCTGGGCTCCGGGGCGAATGCGTGTGACGCCCGCTCCCATCGTCGCCTCCAAGGTGCAGCGGAGGCGCCGACTCGGAAGGGATTCGCCCAAGACGCCTGGCCCAACTCTCGAGCAGCGTACGGAGCAAACGCTGGGGCCTACCCTACCCAAACAGCTTCGCGAATGTGGCGGGGGCAGGAGTTGGGCAAGAACTTTGGAATCAGCAGAAGAAGCCCAGGTCCAGACAAGCTAAAAGGCACTTCCAACTGCACTGGTACGCCCAGACACCAAACGTTATGATTTTTAACAACATGGACTGCCAAAGGTCTCGACCGATTCCCTAGGACCAGCTTGTCATCCCGAGCCGTTGTGTTGAAAGCCCCTGGGCCTGGCGAAAGACCCCGAAGGCAGTACACAGGAAAACACCTTCGGATATGGTTTGTCTTCTGACGCGAATGGGGTCTGGGTCTGGAAACCTTGCCATGGCTCCGACTCAGCGGCGCGTCGTGGAGCCGATGCTCAAGGGGGGCGAGCCTGCAGCGCCGGCTGCTCGGGAGGGTCATCCGCCGTGGGGGCGAATGCCTGGGGGCGCGCGAGCAGGAGAGGCCCCTCCTCGTCCTGCTGTCCTTTTTCTGGGGGAGGCTCATAGTCTAGATTGGCCCGGCGCGAGCCCGCGGAGGGGCACGCGGTCCAGGCAGAAAGGAAAAAAGAAGCCACGGACGACGACGACGCCGCCGACGACGACGACGGCGAAGGCGGAGGCGAACGACGACGACTGCGGCGAACGACGACGGCAAAAAACGACACAACGACGACGACGAACCGCAGCGACGCGAACGAAAACCAGGAGCACGACGGCGACGGCGGCAGCCGAGAGTACGAGGCCTCGCGCCGTGGTGTTCTCAAGAGGGAGGGAAGGCTCAGGGAGGAGGAGGCTAAAGGGGCCCCAGGACACACACATAAATACACATAAATAATAATAATAATAATAATAATAATAATAATAATAATAATAATAATAATAAGAATAAGAATAATAATAATAATACTATTACTAATAATAATAATAAATGCCCCACAGTTTCCCATATTTTCTGGGCCTTTGCCCTCCCCCCCACTTCCCATGTTTTCCTATATTTTCCGGGGGAATCGAGGATTACGTGTGTCTGTGCGTTTCTTTCCCTCCTGAATATGCTGCAAGCCGCAGGTGTGGTCACGGGCTCACGGGAATAGTGGGCCGGGCGGGTGGCCACGGACGCTGGCGTCCCGCCCCACGGTGCTCTCCGGGCGGGCAGCCGTGGCCCCCGAGGGCCCCCCCCACTGTGGCCAGGGGCGAGACCCTTCCGAACCCGCTACAGGCAGGCTGGAGGAGGAGGAGCGAAGGTCTGGGGAGGGAGGAGGAGGGCCGGAGCGAAGGTCTGGGGAGGGAGGAGGAGGAGGAGGAGGAGGAGGAGGAGGAGGAGGAGTTGCCTGAAGCAGAGCGGTCAGCGGTCATCGCCACCGCGTGGCGCCGCATCCAGCGCACGTTGGTTGTGGGCAACGCCGAGATGATTCTCAGTGCGTGCTAAATGACCCACCAGCACTACGACCACCACGGCCACCACGACCACCACGACCACCCCGACCACCACGACCACCACGACCACCACCAGCTGGGCCGCCTGGACCGCCACGGCCACGACCACCACGACCACCACGACCACCAACGACCACCACGACGACCACGAGCACCACGGCCACCACCAGGCCGGCTGTCAGCACTAAAACCACGACCACCACGACCACCACGGCCACCACGACAACCACGACGACCAGCCTCGACCACTACCAGCTCGACCACCACGACCACGGCTTCCGCGGCCACCCTGGCTGCCCGCCCGCCCACCGCGACGGCCCCCGCCCCCCGGCCCCTTCCCCTTCCCCTCCTGGCCGCCCCTGCTGCTCCCCTCCTCCTGCTCCCCCCCACAGAGGGCGCGGGCAGCCTTCGGCCCGCGTCGCGTGCCAGGGCCTGCCTCAAGACGAGGCTGGCCCGGGGCGCACTGGACCGTGGACGGTCCCCCTCTGGGCGGCCCCCAGAGAGCCAGTGGGGGCGCCATCCCCGCGACTATCCGAGGAGGAGGAGGAGGAGGAGGAGGAGGAGGAGGAGGAGAAGGAGGAGCGATGAGGGAGGAGGAGGAGGAGGAGGAGGAGCAGCCGCGAGGCAAGGAAAAGGACAGGGAGGCAGGATCACGTCTTTCCCTGGGGCGAAGGGACGGGGAGAGGGCCAAAGGACTTCGGTGCGCTTGAAATCAAACCCACATTGAGGTTGGAATGTGAGGGGGGAAGCGCATGTCATCAAAATACTGATGTGCGCATCCTGTCGGCGGTTACTTTCCTGTCATTCTGGGTCGGGGGCAGCCTGGCCCGCTGCATGGAAAAGCAAGTTCTCGGACCGCTCCTTCTGAGCCGCTAAGTCCTCGCACTCACGAGTGGGGGCCGACAAGGAGTCGGTGGAGCTGCCGGGCGTTGCCTGGATGCCCCTCCGAACCTGCTCCATGCCATCAACCGCCGGAAAGAAAACTACGCGATCAAAATGCGGGGTCGGCATGGCTCTTCCCCGATTTCGTGAGTGGAACCTATCTCGAACGGAAGCTGGGAAACGAGAGACGCACCCGGGTCCTTGGGCCGACTCCTGCTCAGCTGTGGGCCTGGGAAGGGGGTGCAATGTGTATATATATATATATACATATATATATACACACATATATATATGGCTTGAGCGGCACGGCCCCGTGCTTCGTACCTGTGCTCCCAGTCAGATATCGAAACTGGTATACCGAATCTGAGCACCAAAGACGATCAACAGACAGCACCAAAACAAAACATCCAGCAACACACACACACAACAAAACATCCAGCACAACAGTTGTTTCGTCAGCGGCGAGGCGGCGAACTCCGCTCCAGCGAGAAGCTAGAAAGGGGCACCGACTAGCGAATTGGCCGGCAGGCAAAAAGGGGGGGAACGCCCGAGAGGAAGAAGGGACGCTCAGACGCCGAAGAGCTCGACGCTGAGCAGCCAGGTGGGGGGCAGCAGCAGCCAAGCGCGCAGG